CGGGGGGCAATCCAAGGAGCAGCACCTCCCGTTCCACACAGCGGACGATGCGAAGTCGCTGAAGGGTGCAAACAAGGCCGACATCCTACTTACGACCATCTGGCCATCTAGTATCTGGACAGGGTCCAAGGTCGCTCTTACCCCAGAGAACCAGGCAGCAATTGAAAGCACGGCTGAGGTTGCTGAGCTGTGTGCGACCCTGAAGCCGCGATACCACTTCTCGTCTTCACCCACCGAGTTCTTCTACGAGCGAGAGCCTTTCGTGCACCCTCTCGAGGAAGGCGCAGAGGATGCGGCTGTCACTCGCTTCATATCGATGGCCCCCTATGGAAACGCAGCCAAGGCGAAGGCGCTATATGCATTCACAATCACCCTCAACGAGACCAACGTCGAGAAACCCGCCAACTCTACTTTCACGCCCTTCAGCCAGAGAAAGCCAAAGAGGCGGGCGCAGGATGAGGGCTCCTACAGCCGCTTCGCCAACGGAGACGACGATGGCCGCCATCACCGCCGCGGAAATAAGCGCCGACGTCAGTCGCCTCCTCCCGGGCCGGACCGGTGCTTCTTCTGCTTAAGCAACCCCAACCTCGATACCCACATGGTCTGCACCATTGGCGAAGACAGCTATCTTGCTACTGCCAAGGGCCCTCTAGCCACATCCCAGACCTTTGAGGAGCACGGTATCAACTTCCCTGGCCACGTCATCATCACGCCTCTCGCGCATACACCAACCGTTCACTCCTCTGGCGTCGAGAGCTATACCCCTGAGGAGGCGGAGAAGACCCACAAGGAGATGACCCGTTTCCGCGAGGCCCTCCAGGCCATGGTATCGGCCAAGTCGAACCGCAAGCTGGGTGCCATCACCTGGGAAATCAGCCGCGGTCGCAACATTCACGCTCACTGGCAGTTCCACCCTATTCCCGCGGACTTTGTCTACAAGGGTCTTGCCGAGGCCGGCTTCCGGGTTGAGGCCGAGAACCTCAAGTACCCCGAGTTTGAGAGCCGCGAGATCTCGTACGAGGACCAGGCCGACTTTGGCGACTACTTCCGCATCTGGATCTGGGCAGACGACGGCGAAGACAGAATTAAGGGTTCTAGTCTCGTGATGAAGCTCGATCCCAACATGCGCTTCGATCTGCAGTATCCGCGTAAGGTTGTCGCGAAGCTCCTCGGTCTCGAGAAGCGTTTTGTCTGGCAGGACTGCACGCAGACTAAGGAGGAAGAGGAGAAGGACGTGGCAGCTCTCCGCGAGGCTTTCAAGGAGTGGGATTTTGCGCTTCAGTGAGGCGCGCGGCACATTTAGCGGCGATATCGAAGGCGTTTGACAAGTTTGAGCATGATTACATCATTTTCCTGGCATGGCATTTGGCATGGGTGGCGTTTGGGGGATACCCAGGTAACCTGCATATCTTTGCTATATAAGCAGGCCAGCAGTGGGAAGAGATTATCATTTGGCTTTTGAAGGTTACTTTTTTTTTTACGAGCGGAGGCATATCACAAGGAGCAGATCTATCCATGGCTTCTTTCGAACCGGGGATACTGGGGAAAGCTACGTTGCTTCATCGCTTAGGGGCTACGTTGGACCTTCATAGACAGGCGAGTTAGGCCTCAAAAAGTTTTTCTGAATCGTTTTCATCATTCTTGATCTCTGGTCAAATTTCATCTCTGCTCATTTCGCCGAGGCATGTGGTTCGAGTCGTGGATCCCATCACGGGTCCCATCACGGATCCCAATTCCATTCAAATCATCTTTCGAATCTGAGATGAAGCCAACGATGCAACGATGCAACATAGCAACCGTAATGCCTCGTTAGAAACCCCCACAAAAACAGCTTTTCCCATCATGAAAAAGAACAAAACATGCGCAAGCACGGCAAAGGCGCTCTCGACGCCCGAATAAGCTTCTCCCTTGCTTGCCGCCACAAATGGACCCCTGATTTGTCTACATACTATCCATCTTAGGCAAAACTATCCATACGTGCAGGTGTCAGAGCCTCTTCGGGACATACCCGCAAGGGAGACTGAGACCAAGACCTTTTGACTTGGTCCCATTTCCTCTCACCGTTTGCCACTTTTCCCCATTCTCGAGATTCTAACCTCGGACGGGAAAAGATTCAAGACAATAGTGACATGCAACTGAGATGGCCAAGGCCATCTTGCTTTCCCGAAACGCAAAGAATGGCCTTCTCAGCGGCAAATCACCTTTATACGCGGAACTAAATCATGAAGTTCACACACTAGACTCTTCAGAATCCACAGCAAAAGTAGTGGAAACAGCACCTAGTCTCCAAGCTATACGGCTCAAGAGATTCACACAAAGAAAAAAGGACTCGGCTGAGATGTGACTACCCATAATTTGAGAGATGACAACAGAAAGCCGAATCACAACTATTGACATTCTCTCGCCGTATCCCCCAACGACGCTCAACTACCCACCTACTTCAACTGCCCACCTCAAGATTGGTGATTACGGCATCTCCCACCTCTGAGACAAAGTCTCGCCCAGGGAAGAATGTAGACCACAACGGAAGTGGCTGAACTCTCTCTCTCTCTCTGACGAAATTTGGCTCACTTGACTCGCTTGCATCGTTCATCCTAAAAGAGAGAGAAAAAAAGCCACTGACGAACCACCACGCAAGGGAGAGAGAGAGAGCGCGGCTCAAGAACAAGCCACAAAAGAGCCCGAACCCCAGCCCAACAACCAAAAACAAACAGCCCAGCTTGTCCGGACCGAAACGTCTTTCTTCTTTCCGTCCTTCTTGAACCCCTTCGGTGAGCTTTCCTATTCGGGAAGCACAAGCCAAAAACCTTTGGTGCTCTGGCGGCTCTCAGGTTCAGTCGGTGGTGTGAGATGATCTGGCCTTGTCTTTTCGGGGCTACTTCTCACCTAGCACGTGTCTTTGGTAAGGTAAAGTAGATATTCTCTCCCCCGACGCCGAGTCCGTAGAACAAACGAAAAGGGACAAAGAGAATAACGCTGAAACCACACCAAAAAAGCTGTTGAGCGGCTGGCTTGTAAAATTTCTCTAGAGCCTACCTAGTTACCTTTGCCCCATATGGCTTCAAACAATAGTACCCGCACAAACGCACAATACAGCCGCTCATCTAGCCCGGCACCAGAAACGTGTCTGCCCGCCTCTAACTCTAGGCTACTCTACTGTTGCCGTCGCCCATCGTTGGACGGGACGCTACTCCTCTTTGAAAGATGGTCTGTCACCATCTATTCTCCTCTTTGTCTATCGAGAACGAAGAAGCCGGTGAGGGATTTGTGTTGAACAAGGGGGAAGAACTTATCCCTCTGCAAACTCCGAGTCGTGCGCGCCAGCTCTCGACCATGACACGACACGTTCACAAAACCCTGGGCCGGAAACGGCAACACGCCGCGTGGTTGTTTGAGTTGGATACTTCACCAGGCAAGGACACCTTCGCACGCACCATACTCGTTATTTTGTATGGAGTCTATTCATCTCTTTGAATTCCCATGTAGCGAACATCACAATAGAGAAGGAAAACAAAAGGTTCATTACCTTGAGCTCCGGACTCGGTCAAGTGACTAGTCCCTCTCCTCTCCTGGAATTGAAATCTGCCCAAGAATGCTCCAAGAAGACCCTTCCTCTCCATCCCTCAACGGGGAAACAACAAATTGTATCAATGAATGGATTTAGCATACCTCCTCAGCAGTCAAAGAAAGGACCGTTGGGCCTGTATCACCGCTCGCTCGCGCGGTCGCGTGCTTACGCCCACCCTTCCCTACTACCCCCAAAGAAAAGCCACATCTTGACATTCTTATCCAAAAATAAGCAGCAGACGTTAGGCTGATGGGACATTGAGGCTGGCGGGAGAGTACGAAGTAGGGGGGAGGGGGAGGGGGAGGAAGAGAACAAAGCCACCCCTCCCACCCTTCCACGCTAGAACATTCGGCAGAACAACCCAAACATCTTGACCTTCAGCCCCCCCCCCCCCCTTACCTATCCCACCTAAACCTCACGACACGCAAAGAAAGGCAAAGCCCGAAACAACCCCAAATCCCAAAGACTCTAACAATAGACCCTCAGATCCCAAACGCCAAAACGGGGAGAAAAACATATACACCCAGAAGAAAGAGAGAAAGAGAGAGAGAGAGAGAGATCCTAGCGCGGAGGCTACGTACGAACTAAGGAGTAAACTCCGACCCTAGCTTCGGGAGATGAAGAGGGGACCGAGCAACAAACAGACCAAGGCGTGCGAGGCTCTCACTTGCATCATAACCGATCCGACAAACCCCAATCACTCACTACTCATCATTCCATTGGGCCTTGCTTAGGGAAGAATGGAAGGGGGGTGATGGGACCGAGTTTGATACCACCGTCATCTGCCACCTGCCAAATCTCACCGTCCATCTACAGTCTAGACAAGGGTTGAAGCCTAAAGGGGGAAGAAAAAAAAAACCACAATGTCACAGAAGACCTCGCTTCGGTTCGAAGAAAAGAACACCAGTCAAAGCTGACGTTGAATCGTGAAACTCAAGTAGTCCATACGGGTCTCGCGGTCACGGGAGCTTCCCTGCACAGTAGACTATAGGGAACGGATAGAGCCTCAATACGAAGTCTAAAAAGACACATTCGTGGGGGACGGGCCCCCGAGTTTCGAAACACCCCATAATCCACAGTTCGGGACGAACCAGAACAACCACAAAACCTCGGACCTCAAAAGTTTCGCACAGACAATCCAGCCATCAGCCGGTGCGATCTCAACGGCTTGAGGTGTTCATCGGGAATGGCTCAGACAAACGCGCTCGCGCACAACATGTAGACAAGCACGCGCTCGCGCGCGCGCATACCATCACAGCCGCGCCTTGAGCACGTGTCTCACGAGTCCAAGCAATGATGAGCGTGTTTTTTTGTTTGTGTGTATTTTCATTCAATTGTTATGAGCTAGCCCACAATGATCCGACCATGGACCATTGGTGTTTGGTTGGCAATTTTTGGTCTTTGCATCGCCAGTACTGTACAGAAAGAGGCAATGGATTCACCCATGCCGGTATTGCACCAATCCAGCTTCCAAGCTTGCAGTGCTATCTCCCCCATTGGCCAATGTTACAAGGCATTCCCAAGCAACTGCTTTTCATCCACTGTACTAGCTTCTCCGCTCTTTGCATGCGTTCTTTCGCAGCTACTCCTACAATATACACAAGGAGGTGGAGTCCTCCCTAAAGCACAACCATCGGAAGAAAAAGAGGTCCGTGGGGCTTCTGTTTTGAAAAAATGTAAAGGGAATGGGGTGTCGAGAGGTCTGTGAGTGCCATCCGATGACAAGGATGTCGGGTATCCGGCGTTTGGATAGAAAGGTGTGTGGTATCAGGTGAAGATGGTCAATGGACCGAGTTGAGCACAAAGGAAAAAGGGTCCGCCGATGGAGGGATGGTCCGAGAAATAATACTCCGAAAATATGTGGAGATTCCGACAGAAGAGCAGACAGACCGAGACGTCATACTGAAATGCTCCCGCGTCTGAAATCTGTGGAGACAGACAAGCGGTGGTGGTGTTGTTGTTGTTGTCGTTTGTTTGTTGATATATGTGTGTTTGGTTGAGGACCATCCTCCTCGGCGGGATGCAGAAGTCTTTGACAAAGGAAAAAGAAACAAAAAAAACCAAGGACAATGCTGTAAAATGCCGACAGGGAGCCACCCCAAGATGCCAGATCCAAAGTGGACTCCGTACAACCATATCAAGGCGATGCGGGGACAAATATGCCAAATGCGTCTAATGCCGGGTTGCTGGTTTTGTTGTATGTTCAAGTTGCAGAACGAGGCTCATAACGAAGTTCTATTAGCGTAACAATTGAGGTCATCGCGGCCGTGAGCGTTGCGTTAGCTGCTGTGTAGTCCGGATTGGTAAGGGTGGAAATATAGGCAGTCGAATCGAATAGGGGTTCGTTGAACATGTGCAGGAAGAGACGCGAAAAACATCGACAATCAGGCTGCTGTGGTTCGCCCTATTAGGGATGTCGAGCAAACAGTCGACAAAACAATGGACAGCTTCGAAGTCTGCGGAGACCTCGAATTCCCCCCCTTGCCAAGCAAGGAGATCTCACCCCTCCACTATGTGCAGCAGACAGTGGGTGTGAGAGGGGCGCAAAAAGATGTATGTGCTAGTAAGACGCCATGCGTCGTGCATGGCATCGCTCGCCGAGGATTGGAGAGTTGCCAATCATGGCGATGGGATCTTGCCGGAAGCTGATGCTGGGTCTGAGGCCACTGGGGCGCGCTGGAGCTGTGGGTGATTGGTCGACGCAAGAGTCGCGCGAGCCAAAGGCGAACGTTTGCGCTCTGCCGAAGCCCTTGCGAGGGTTCTTGAGGCGGCCAAGTTCGCGTTCGCAGGTGCGCTGGTGAGCCTCATCCGACATTTCCACGTAGTTTTGGGGATAGCAACGGCAAGGGTGCTCGGCGTAGAAGCCGCTGTATCCTCCTCCAAGAATATACACGTCAGGGTATGTGAGTCGCGGGTAGTGCTCGGCGTTGACAGTCCTGTCCTCGGAGCGGATATGGCGAGCCATCATGGGGGCGCGGTGCGCCGAGTATTCGCAGTGGAAGATGAGGATTGTTCTTCCTTGCATGGGGTGTTGGATCAGCTGGGAGGCGAGGAGGTCCTTGCTGTTGTAGTTGACAGCTCCGTCAATGTGTCCTCCGTCGTACTCGTACTCGAAGCGGCAGTCAATGATCATCTTCTGGTCGAACTTGTCACTGTACTTTCCGTCCAAGAGATCAATCATGGTGGCCTTTGTTATCCGGGGAATGGTGTCCGTGGGGTCATCGGCGAGGAAGTGAGGCAAGATGGGCTCCTGGACATCATCGGCATCCATGCTGGTAACAGACTCTGGGGTGGTAGGCGAGGAGTCGCCGCCTTCTGACTTTGCCTTGGCAACATCGCCAGGGTGCTCAAACATGCTCAAAGAGCGACGGAACTGCTTGCGGGGACGCATAAAGGGATTTGAAGGGCGACGGCTGTGACCGTTGCCAAAAGGGCTGTTGCGGTTACCAGAGAGGCTGGAGAATTGAGGACGAGGACGAACGGCACCAGGCACGGCAGGAGTAGGGCTATTCGCAGTCTGAGGTCGTCGTTCTTGAGGAGGTGATGTAGCATCGAAGCATTCTCCCAGGGACATTGCGCTGTTCATATGCGTCAAGCGATTCTCACCAAATCGGAAAGTGGGGAGCTGGGTGTCTGTGTTGGAACGGCCGGGAACGCCACTAGTCGAGTAGCCTTTCATCCGAGTCAAGGAGGGCCGGCGCAAAGCTGGCTTTCTCCGTCTGCCCCCTGAGTTAGACGCGACCCCTTGAGCTAGGAGGAATGTGGCAATCAAACTTACTCGGCTACCAGTGGCTTGGGTGGCTCCAACGACGCCTGCCGAGGAATGGGGGCTGGCGAATCCAACATCATCTCGTCGTCCTCGCCGGTTGGGGTTGATCCCGGGGTCGGTGACGTTATCGCGATCTGGGTCATGAACGGGAGCTTGTGCGGCAACGGCGAGACATCCATCAAATCGTGGGCAGGTGACGATTCGGGCAGAGGAGGCGTAGTCACGTATTCTGGTCTCACATCAGCTTCCTAGTCCCATTTCCTCTCTTTTGTGCTTGCAACCCATAGAAGAACGTACCGTAGGAATCCGCGTCACTCATCATGTTTGACGTGAACAAGGCACGACGAGGTGTGGGGAACTTGGGACTAGACAGAACGTTGTTAGTTGACGGTTTTCCAGACTGAATGTATTGGATGCACGTCATCGTACCTCGCCTCGGTATCCAGACGGAAGTTTTGTGAGAGATCGGCGGCCAAACTAGCAGCGGGCGAGGAACCGTGAATGTCCTTGACATTGAAGTAGTTGTCGGGCCTGTGAAGGTGTTCGCGCAGACTGATGGGTACGGCACCAGCGAAGGTGTTGGGGCGAGGGCGGAAAAGATCCTTATTTCCCCAAGAAGGAACTGCCATGGGACGGTGCATAGCCGCCAATGGTGATGAAGCTTCCATGATTGTGGTGTGTGGTTGTCGGGACCCGATCGTGGGAAGCGAAAGTATTTATTGCGGGTGGTGATGGGTGTTAGTGGTGTCTCTTTTTGTTTCTTTGGTGTGAGTGCTGCGTCCAAGACGATACTCGATATGTCGTGACGAAAAAAAGAGGGACGATCGTTAAGAAGAGGCCGCAATAAGCGAATGTTGCAGCAAATCCCAAGATGAATATCTGTTTTAGCCGTTTCCACTCAATGGAGAGGGAACAAGACGTCGCGACGAGTATGAATCGGAGGGCGGTGGTGATGCAAGCTGTAGAGAGAGGCCTCTTCGATCTCGAATCGAGCGTCGATGTTGGCTTGATGGGATTTCGTGGCGGCGGGGGTTTTTCGGGAGCGCGCGTGCAACAATGCAGCTGAGATCGAGAAAAAAGAATGGCCGTTCGTTATTGCGTCGGTGCAAGCAACATTGAATACCCGAGGAATGAAATAAACTGCGTCCTATTTCTCCTTGATTCATGAAACGTATTTTTCTTCCTCCCAGAGAATATCGGTCGAGGTCGAAGTCGATATCGAAGTCGAGATCGAGGTCGTTGGCGGCGTCTCTAACTGGGGGAGAGAGAGAGGCGAGAGAGGCCGGCGGTCCACGATGGGGGCCTTGGGTGGTTGCAAGGGGAACAAAGGTGGGCGGATAATCGTAGGTGGGAGGGAGGCGCCTTTTGCATGCAACTTCTTTCTCGAACAGAAGAGAAGAGAAAGAGCGCACCGAAAAGACTGACCGAATCCTTAGTGCCGGAGCAGGAGCAAAGGCAAATGCGGATGCGGTGCGGGAGCTGCAGTGCGGCGTCGGTGTTGAAGGTGCGTTTCGGAGGCTACGACCCTTTTTAGTTCTTTGCTCGAGCTACGCTTTTTCGGTGGCCGAGCAGGAAGGGATGCTGCAGTGATGCAAGGACGCAGGCTGCAGTGAGTGAGTGAGAGAGAGAGAGAGACTGGCTTTGCTGGTTGGTACTGAGTAGCGACACAGAGAGAGAGAGAAAAGATCCGAGTGTACAGCAGTAGCACCGGACAAGCAATGACAAGAGAAACGAGTGCAATGCCTTTGGGTTATCTAGTGCTGGCGCAGGGACGGGGAAGAAAAAACGTCAAGTAGTTTCTTCCAAGCGTCTAGCCTTCTTTTTCTTGGATTCCTCTTTTGCTTGTGCTTCTCTTGTTTCCTCTTTCGGCTTCGTTCTCGTCCGTCTGGTTCTTCTTCTTCTTCTTGTTCTTCCTGATTACCCACAATGCCCAACGGGGGAAAAGCAGTAACAGACGCAGAAAAGAGCAATCAAACGAGAAAGACGGAAAATTAGAAATAAGAGTCGTGAGTTGAGTTTTTTGCTGGTTGAGTGTGTGGACTGGCCAACAGAAAGGGCGGCGTCGAGTTACGATATTGGTCGTCGACGACAGTTATGCGATACGATGGGAGGACGATTATAGTGTGGTAGTCCGTGGGCGTGAGATGTTGGTGGTGTGTAGTAGGATTTTGGGTGCACGTTGAGTACGATAAGTTGTAGAGAATGGCTGGACCTGGAGACCTGGGCACCTAGGGATGATTCCTGAACTGAACCTCTCTGATGGACCTAAGAATAAAGGTATCCGTAACTCTCTAAACCTACCGTACCGTCGGACCGTTGGTGGTTATGGTCGGGGATGAAGGGGGGAAAGAAGAGAGAGGGAGGGAAGAGGTCGGAAGAAAGAGGAGACTAGAGGTTTTTGAATGAAGGTGTGGTGTGTGTGTGGTTGACTGGTCGTGGTGAGCAAAGTATGGATATGGATATGGATATGGGTTTGGGATGGGATGGGAACTGGGTGTGTGTCTTGTCTCTCTCTCTCTCTCTGTCACTCTCTGGAACCATGGACCATGGATCAAGGTGTGTAGTGTACGGATGGTGTGTGGTGTGTGTGGTGTGCGTGAGAGGTGTGGTGTGCAGCAACCATGAGGTGTGTGTGACGGGATTGGGACAGGATGGGATGGGATACCTGGGATGGGGATGGGGATGGGGGATGGGACAAGAAGCAGCAACCAAGCAACCAGAAGCAGGAACCAGGCCTCTCTGGGAGTCAGGATAGGATGGGATGGGATGGGATGGAACCAAGGCAGACGCCGCACACAGCAACGGTGCTATGTACCACCACTACCACCAGTCTACCACTGCTACTTTGCGTAGCCGACTAGGTAGGAAGAGTGTATTAGCGACCAGACAGACAGCCGCCAGACAACGACGACGACGACGACAACGGGAGCGAACGAAGAGAGAGGGTGTGTGGATGGAAACCTGAACCAGGTCCAGGAAGGCAACTCGACGGGGTGGATTGAGACTTGACCGGGATGGGGGATGTCACTGTCAGTTGTTGCTAGCCCAGGATGGTCAAGATGGATGGGAACTTGGGAAGACTGGAGCTGGACGAGCTGGAACAGGAACCACCAGCAACGAGACAGGAACGGGTACAAGATGACATGCCGGGACTAAGCATTCAGACCAGCAACGACAATGTACAATATCAACTGAGGTACACCAAGAGAGAGAGACACAGAGAGAGGGCGAGACATCTTACATACGCACAGCATAGCAGTCACGCAGAGCACACTGCAGCCGCCGACGATATCCCTCCACTCTTTCTGCTCCTCCTACGCAACCTCAATCTCAGTACAATGTACTTTTATACAGACAACAATTCTATACTATGAATTGTCTCCATGGCTCGCCTCGTCTTGCTCCTTGCCTTGCCTTTCTTTCCCTGCTCTAGGTACGGAGCATCTGGCCTTACGACATTGGATGCCATGTCTGATGCTGGACTTTCTCTCTGAGCAACCAGCGCCAGAACCCGGTACAAACCCCCAGCCAAGGGCCATCAGCTCCAGAACCAGACACTCGAACAGGGAAGCGCCAAACGGGGGGGACCAGCCCAGACTACGGATACCTTACGTAGTACGGCGTAGTGAAGCCAAGGTGCGGATAAGGTAGAGAGAAACGACCAAGGGGGCGGTACATGGCTGTCTGTACGTACCTGGCTGTGAGGTGTGCTGCAACGAGTACGTATCTGACAGCCAGTACGTACCCTTCTTCGCGATGGGACATTCCCCCCTTCGTCGTGGAGCCTCCTTGGTGATCTTCCTCTCTCTCTCTCACTGCGCGTAACTTCTGGTGCGATGCCCACCCAACCGCGACTTGAAAGTCAACTTTGAACTTGGTTGTCAGGGGAGATTTGGTTGCTGCTGCAGCTACTGCAGGACTTGCAGCTGCATCAGAGCTTCTGGGTGGACGGCAACGACAGGGAGTGTGTATGCACCAGATGGAGATGGAGATGCAGATGCAGACAAAAGATGCAGATGGATGGGGCCCGGGTGTCTCTCTCTGCCTTGCCTCCAGGCTCTGTGGCTCTCTTGCTTGCTTTCCGCCGTTTACCAGTTGCAGCAATCTGGGCTTGAACCTTTTCCCTCTCAGTCTCCGAGGTGGTGTCTGGTGTCTGTGTGGTGTATGTCTCTCGCTCTATCTTGACTTGTCTCTGAACTGTCACTGAGTAAATGATACTGCAGCCAACTTGCATCGATGCTGCTGCACAACGTACACTAACTCGCCTTCACTCACTGCCATTGGACGTAAGCAACATGGCATGACCCTGTAGGTCTCTCGTCTGCGGTCCTTCTCTGGGACTTTGCTGGCCATTTACACAGGGCCATTCCTGGTAATACATCCGCACCTTATTCTAGCGTGCCTTTTTTCCCAGTCTTTTCCTCGTACCCTTTCCCCCCCACTTTACACGTTGCCAAGGCACAATGTGTGTGTGTGTGTGTGTGTGTGTGTGTGTGGTCATTGAGCTGAGAATATCTTGCTTTCTCTCCCGTTGCCCTGCGTTCCCTGGTTCTCTTCTTCGGCTGAAGCATCAATCGATTGTCAGTCTTCCAGAATAAAAACAAATGGTCGGACGGCAGAAGCTTCCAAGGCAGAGGCAGAGGCAAGAGAACGACCCGAGCCAAAGAGCACGTGGCTCGAGGTACGTACCTGGAAAGCAGGGCAGGGCAAGGAAAAGGAAGACTTTCTCACCTAAGATTCCTTCCAGCTCGTCGGTGCCTTACCTTGCGTCAAGGTAGAAAAGCCGCGAGCGGGCATAACTAAGGTAATGCGCAACAGCAAAAAGGTTATCTGTGCTGTGCAGCAAACCAAGGAAATCGAGCAGAATCGTGCCAATCGCACCAAATTCCGTCTTGTCTTAGCCAATGCGCTTCGAGCTTTGCCCGTGTGGTGCCCTTGGATCCGATGCACAGCACAAGCAGCTGGAGCCAGCACAAGCATTTTCATCCAGCAGCAAGTCATGGCCCCCCAAAAGCAGGTACGAGTAATTCCTCATCTCGCCGCCATACTGAGATTGGAGAAGACTGGTCACCGATGCTCCGTACCTTACCACATCTGCGAAGAATACACACAGGTATCCGTCCCGTCCACATGTCTCTTGCAGTCACACACCCCCAAATCCACCCAGCATTACCGACATGAACCACGCCCGCGCCCACATTCGCCCTGTCTTCTCGCGAGGTACGTGACGCCGTATGAATACCAACGCTGTAATTGGGTCTCGCACCCTCCCAGCTAGGGACCCTTCAGGGGCGGAAGAACTGGATTCGACTCCACGAACATCCTCCGACGACTCAGGCGCCCAACAACGCCGTTGCGGCGTACAGGGGGCCCCTACTTTGGCACCAATCCCCTGGGGAACTTTCCCCCCTTACAGGCGGTTGCCGCAACAATTGACGGATTTACAGCGGCTTCGCCTGAATGTTCCATCACCCCACTGATGGCCGCTGGCGGCTTGCCCTGGAGCGTCGAGTTCATGCTCTATCGGTTGAGGCGTCAGGGGCATGAGGGGCTCTCTCCATCTTCCCATCCGCCCTAAACGTGAGCAACCCTTCACTGGGGACTGGCGTGCTTGCTGGCGTGCTGGGCTTCCCGTCTGGTCGCTAGGAAGTTTTAGGGCCCGACGCAGTGTGCACGTACTCTACTCGGTACGCCGTAGCCCGTTGACTCGGTAGTATCGGTGGCGCCAAAAGGGTTAACATGTTTGATACGGAGAAGCGCGAGGCCTTTCGTGGTCTGGTCTTGGTCTTGTTCTCCAGTGATCGGAGGCGGTCTCCAGAAAGCTCGAGTCTGGAAGTGGTTCTCGTGCTCAGTCGTCACCCACCTGACCGGCCATGTTTCTGTCTGGCGTTAGATTGGAAACTCCCCGAGAAGAGATTTTGATGTTCTGTCCGCAACTTGGTCTGTGGGCAACATAGCATACCGTCCCTGAGTCCCCGAGTCCCTCAACAGAGGCCCGCGGGGTGGTCTGTGGTGTGCGGTGCAGCCGTGGACTGGAGCACCCGGAGCTGGTCGCTGGGCAGCTTTCGGAACGGGATCCAGTAAACTCGCCATCAAACCAGTGTCACGTTGGATGTTGGACCCGTCGACCCGTTGCGGACTTGCGGTTGCTGCAGCATCTTGAGGCTAAAGGTATCCGTAACCCGGACCGTAGTGATGGTCTTACATGATACGGATACCAAGCGTCGAGAAAACCCTTTCTGATCCCCGCTGTTTCCCATGGTAGTGAGGCGGAAGAGAAGGAAAAGAACGGGTTGCCCAGTGGAAGGGTCTCGTAGCCCGGTGATCCGTCTGCAGGGAGAGAGAAAATTGAAGAGAAGAAAAAACCGTGCAGCGGACCCGGCGCCGACCCAGATGCTACAACCTGCGGGGCCTATGAGGAAAGTGCGGAGTGACGAGAGGCGAGGTACCTTCCATGCGAATCCGTACGGTAGGTCCCTTCCTTCTCCCACGCCTCAGCCATGGAAGGAAGTCTCCAGGCCTCTCCACCTTCTGTAAGTGATATTGGCAGGCACTGAGTACCTTGCCTAGGTAGTGTACTTACCTAAGGTACTCTACACAGTACCTAGCTAAGGTATTCCTTGAGTCCTTCCTGCCTCACAATGGTCAAACCTGAGGTGTACTTGTAAGGCTCGACTCTAATTTGGAAGGCACCAAGTGTCCAATGGAAGGAAGTCTTTTCCTTCCACTTCCATTCAATTATTAGCCAGGAACAACCAACCTAAGGCAAGGGCGGTTTCGACCCCGTTGAATGAATTAAACGTTTTTGTTCCTTCTTTGTGCTCCTTGTGCTTTGTGCTGTTCCTCTTAGTGCTGTGCAAGCTCAAACATTCATACAATTCAGCCCAGCTTTCCAACAAAGCATCTCTATGCCGCACCTCTGCTTCGACTTATTGCCCGCAAGCGTTCCGTCTACTACTTGGTCCACTTGTTGGACAATTGCGATTAATTTGGCTCTCCCTTCCTTCGGGCAGAAAGCACCATTTGCGAAGAAGCGCCGGGCCCAGCGAAAAGCGGTATCAACTTTCGACTATCTTCTTGGCTTAGTGCAACAAGCCAGACGCAATCCCAATGCCAGTCCGACTCGAGTACCCTGACGACAACAGCACATCGAATATGGCACAGCTCCAACGGAAATCACTGAGGATTCTCTAGATACGAGTCAACCACCGGTCCATTGAACTGTAATCCGAGATCCAAACGACGCGCACAGGGAAACACTACGTGCAGAGGACCACCTACACGCGCCTCCCGTGATCCATCCATATGGCAACGACATGCGTCTACTGCAAGCCATCGTCCGCTCGTCCCTTTTTGCCCCCAACGGCCGCAGTCATCCTTTTACCCCTCCCCCCTTCCATCAACTAAAGACTGATTTCACCGTCGCCCCGGCTGTGAACTACGGTATCTAGTTGACGATGGCCCCCGTGTGGCTGAAGGCTGGCGCTAGGCTATCCGAGAAGCCAACTTCTAAGCGCCCTTCACACGAACCTCGAACCGAATCGACAGAGTCAGCTTCTACTGTCCACGAGGTTGCTTGAGGTGCCAGCCGACCTGCCAGCTGGACACTGTCACCTCCAAAATGCCTCTCTGCCTAGCACTAGCAAACCTCACTTGGCAGAAGTGGGCCTAGGCCGTCGACTTACATCATCGCCCGGCGCGGGAAACCATCAGATCAAGTTCAGCACCGCTGACAACGCCGCACTTCAGCACCAACACCACCGCCAGTGACCATCGCGAGCCTGGAAATGAGCGGTGAGTTGGCGTATCGCCCTACTCAGCTGTCCCCTGTCCAGGGTGTGTCTTACTACAGAGCACCTCCTAATACTTCGGCAGTGCACTGGACGTGCGAGTATGTACTCTTTCACATAGGTACGGCTACAAACACAGCATTCAGAGACAAGATAGTAGCGGCTTGTCTCTCCCGTCTGTCGCCTGTCTGCCAACTCACTGACTTTTATCCCCTGCTCTGAGCAACCGGCTGCTTAGCCTACCAGCATTCAGGGTCTGGAGCCAGCAATTACATCAGGCGCCGCCTTGCCTATTGTGTCATCCGCTTCCTGCACCTTAATCGTGATGCTTCCATCCTCATTCGCCAGAAGACCCCGGACCACGACCTCCATCCTCATGTTGGACACAGGGTTGGCAAGGCTACCTCACAGCAGCGGCAGAAACGGAAACGCCTGGCGGCTTTGGACAGGGCTCCCACGCCCATGATCTCCCGAATCTTGCCCGTCTCGTCATCCCTTCAGCTTGGGTTCACCGTTCAGGCCACACGGCACACCAAGCTTGCTACTCGGACCTGGTGCTCCCAAGCAACCACGCCCCCGGAGGCATACACAGTATGCCCGAATCCAGACCTATTGATGTTGCCGCTGCAGGCAGGGCACATCCGCTGCGGCCGACACAGGCGATGACATTTCCGGGGCGTCAGCAAACATCTGAAGTGAGACTTCAGGGCCCTAAACGACTCCTTGCTGCATTCTTCGGTTGCCGGGTCGTAGCCTGCGAGAAGGGTCTTGCTTGAGACAAGGTTGGAATAAAATGGCGTGGTGACTATGGGCCATGTCAGACTTTTTCCCCCTTTCTCTGGTACGGAGTACGAAAAAACTCGTGAGTGGCTTGTTGGCCGCTAATTATTCACAGGCTTATCCCGTCGACAAACAAGCCATCAATGGGGATGATACTGTACAATTGTTCGCTAATTCGGGACGTAGATCCTTGGCTGTGATACCCTTTTCGGACCCAGTCTACATTCCTCTTCCTACAGATACACAAGACAACAGCATTCCTTGGTGACCTCGAGATGGCCTCCCAATGGCCCGCATCAGTGACATGCACAGAAGGTCAAAACGTCAGGGCTGCAGGAATCACAAGCCCAGCAATGACGTAGATTTGGGTGTCGAGCATCTGCGGTGACCTTGCTCGTATCCTCCATCTCGAAATCCTGATGCACTCCGAGCGAATCTAGACGGCCCAGCTGTCCGGCCAGCGAACGGGGCCCGAGCCTGAGGAAAACCGGCCCTGCCGAGTTATTCGGTCTCTACCGCACCGTACGACAAGAGCCGAGAAATGGCAGATCTGGCACATAGGCTAGTGTACGGAGTCGCGTCGTGAGACTTTACACTAAACCCATCAACATAGCTGAGCATGTCTGCAAAGATTTTTTTTCAGCACTTGCTCGAAAGACCCTGCCTCCACAAAGCGGATCTCAGCAATGATCCGGCAACGACCAAAAGGAGGTTCCGAAGACAGGAAGAAAATTCGAAGGAAAAAAAAGAAGTGCTCCGTACATTAATGACCCGGTAAAACCCCCATCGTCATCTTCTCCCCACAGCAACCAACGGGGCCGGCCCTGGGCTGAAGACGTGGGATCGGCTGGGATCAGCTGGGCTTTGACTAGGGTCCGACAAGGGGGCATCGGCAGCTCGCAGGGCTTCACCTCCATCTCCGCCATCGCGACTGGCCAGAGCTCTCGGCCGCTCTGCCTCAAGTTCTCAACTCTCTCAGCCAAGCCTAGGGCAGTCCCTCGCTTTCCCCCGCCCATCGGCCCAGTACGTGACCCCGGTCCTGGCCCCGGCTTCTGTCTCGTGCGATTTGTATGTATGCGTGCTGGGCTAGACTCCGCTCTCGTTACCTACCTGGGAACCTCAGGATTGCTTATCACTGCCACATCGTCCCGTGCAACCCAAACTTCAAACCGACCGCGGTCCTCGAATAAACAGTTTGGACCTGCCAGAGCCTCTTGTTCACACCGATTTGGCGTTGCAATTGGCTCGCTATCGGTCACTGGGAGAAACACAGGGTCTAGCGGGCGCTGAGACACTGTTCTTGCGGCGCTGGCACAGCTGGCTTACAGAGCATCCTGTTTCGGAAGGCAAGTGGATACACTGTAAGCACAGATGGAGCTTGGTGCGTGGTAATAGCTCGGGGAGCTTGGGAAGAAAAGAGACACACAGAAAGAGAGCTTCGTTAGAGCTCTGCTGAAGCTTCGAGCTCGGCCTAGAGCTGGGTCTGGGGCTGGGGCTGGGGCTGAAGCTCGGAATATTAGCAGACACCAAACCCGGACCAGGCGATGCACCGAGATGACGACTGACAACGACCGTTCTGACAGAGCAACAGAGTTCGAGTCTTGCCCCGGTTGTCCATGTCGACTCCCTGATAGTGATCCATCCAGCTGGTCTAGGCCTGGGTCTTGGCTTACCTGGCTTGACTGGCTGGCGAACAGACGGGCGAATGGCAGCTTGCCCTGTGATCAATGGCGACGCCAACATCAGCGGCGCTGGTCAAGCATTTGAATGATGCGGATTTGACGGCGCGACACTTGAGTTCAGGGCACGGGTGTTGAAGGCTGCCAGATGCCAGATGCCAGTCAAAGTCTGTCTAAGACCGGCTGGCGGTGAAGCGGCACGCTCAGTCTTTCATCTCCACAATGAGCACCGTGCATCGAGGAACAGCGATAGAGACATTGGTTTTATCGCACGTCGGTACGTGTATCTCGCTCAGTGGTCAGGCCGATCCGAAGCCGGCGGCTGGGGAGATGAAGGTCGCATGGTGGTTATCCGAGTTGCGACATGGTCGCAGAAGCGGCCGGTGTTTGTCTCCAAGGACACAGTCAGTTTGGATCCTTCTGCGTCTCGTAGACTTGTTCGACGGGGCAACAGAAGCAACAGGGGAATCGGGACGAGCAAAGATTCGGGCGCCAGTCCCATATGCTCCCCCGCCTACAGAGCACACTACCGCGCGGCGGGCTGCAGATGTGCTGCATAGCTGATGCGCGTATGCGAGCTCGATGCAGAAACTGTGCAGTACCCACGGATACGTTTGGATGGATAGTCGATGAAGATGGATACCTCGGATGCAGAGCTGCACTTTGCATTGCGGACAGATGGCCGGGCTGCATCAAGCTGCTGCAGCTACTGCATGCAGTCCAGGTTTCCAGAGTATTACAGCCATGTTTCTGATGCTCCGCCGTGTTGGCCGGCCCGCCCTAGCTTCCACAGGGTCGAAGCTCCCCCGGCGACCGCGGCTGTCGACGGTGAGATGCTCCAGCTTCTTGCAGGACGAGTTACGCACTCACGACTCACGAAGTGGGGTTGAAGAAGCTCTCGATACAGGCGAGACAGGCTCTCGTGCCTCTCGTTTTCCTCTGGGACGACATGACAACATCAGCAACGGCAGGATCCTGGTTTGAAGCTCCAGAGCTCCACTTACAAGGCCCGGCCAAAGGCATGTTTGTCATATTTCCGTGTGCACAGAGGTTTGGGCCAAAGAAGAACCCCTCTCGTTGGTGACCACCATGCAGCATCCCCGGCTCCCTCGAGACGCCCGCCGTCTTACTCTGTAGGGGACCTTTTGTTTACTTTGGACTGTTCTTGGAAAGCTCGTCTTCAAAAAAATCAGCTCGATCGACAAGCCGGCTTTCGGCCTTGGGCCAACCTTGACCGTGAGCATGACCATGTTGATCACCTGGGCGTCTCGAAATAGGATTGAAGAATTCCATCCCGCCAGGGGTTGCGCAACAATGGATGAGGCTCACGATTTCAAGAATGGACGAAACGGTCATATAGCTCTGGACTTCGCTTAAAGGGCCGATGCCATCGTCAACCCTGTTGATATTGACCGGCCTACCCTGTCTTGTTCCGCTCCTAATCTACGGTTGCTTGGTTAGAGAAAAAAAAATCGTCCATGGGTCGCGTCCCTATTCACCGAGCCCTGGAACCCCGCGACACTTTACCGGACGGGTACACTACGAGCGAGAGGCTACGCACAGCCCACTCATCCTCCCGATTCCAAGCCACCGGCTGCCATTGGCGCACTAGCGACTGGCGTTGGGATCGTGATTGCGAGTCGACAGCTTCAAGTCCAAGCGGGTGCACAGGCAAGTGCACTTGGCCGTCGGTGAAGGCGGGTGGAGGAATGTAAATGATCACTGACAGTGAGTGTGGCTGACGCAAATTGCCATGTCGAGCTTGTCTGATCTGATGACGGGCCGCCGCCTTGGAACTATTCAGAAGGGCGCCTCAAACCTTGTGACGAAAGTCGGAGCTACGGCGTTATGCCTGGCGCCATGGAGAACATCCTCGGTGCTACAAGATGAGTCTCCTTTCGCGTTGCTCTATCAATCGCACGAGCTTCACGCCAACAAGGGTTCAACACGAACAGGTCAGCGGGACCAACTCCTGAAAGCCTTGAGAGTGTAAGATGAGGATGCTCAAACAGCAAAATGCGGATGAATCATCCGAATACTCGGTATCCAGCATCGCCCGATCCCGGGCCAGGACCAAGAAGCGACCGAAACCCCAACACCACCACGCCACTCCTCCATCAATGCGGTCGGAGAATTACTGACATAAGCTGGTTGGAGGCACGCCGCACAACTACTGATTGGGTTGCGATAATACATACGCATATAGCCCGATCGCGATTTGACTCATCAGACGCGAGAAGGAAATTCGAGAAGAAATGGGCACAACAAAAACATGGTCTTCAGGCATCTTCCCATGCCTCAAGACATGGTCTCACCCGGCATTTACACATCGAGAAAAACAAGGTCTGGCCATCATCCATGACTTTGAGGCTAACAAGTCAAGCTTGCGTATCCGAACTTCGTACAAATATGGGCGGCGACGTAGAGGGCGATGTGAGAACCCCCCCATCGGCCATCTCGATGTAAAAAAGCATCGATCACGCACCTCCCATCCCGATCACCTGCGGCCGGTCTAGTCCGGCTCTAAAACAGACGTCATCCTCTCGGGGTCAAGCCTGGCAGTGATCGTCAAGATTCAAGAACACCCCCCGGCCTGCGGCCCCTCCCCCAAGGCAGAGCGCTCGTCTCGCCGTCGTGTATCGAGATCCTGCTTAGCCGGGCCGTCATTCTCATGCGGTCACATCGTTCTTTTCTGGAGCATTTGCACAATTCGAAGCATCACGACCATGGGTATACTGGATCCAGTGCCAGGGCCGCATCGACAGCGACCCCGTACCCATCAACAACCGGAAACAGTGCCAATCACTAGAGAGATGGCTCACACGTACGACAACATGTCGGTCAAGCTTGACCGAAACGAGAGGGGACTCGACTCGGAGGCGAGAGAGAGCGACAGATGCCACCGAGAAACAGGATTGGATGGCTCGCCTTGTTTGTTTATTCGCGCGCACAAGACTTGGCCTTCGGCGCTACCAGGCCGTGATGCCTTGGATTGATGAGGCCGTCTCGCGCTATTGAAGATTACCTGCATGATAGGGAAGACAGGCATCGGAAACAATCCAATGAGGCGTCCCAATGCACTCGGGAGCTGTCAGAGCCAAACTTTCAGCTTGAATTTGACATTGATAGAAGGTTTGCAAGCCTTGTCGTACGCCCGGTATAGACACATCAGTCAGTGCCGCGTGACAGAATCCGCGATGGCGTTGTCCCCTCCCTCTCCCTCGGGTCTCCGTGCCCCTCCTCTTCCCCTCTCCCGTTCCTCAGCTTTACTTGCGCACACAGAGAGAGCCATCACTGCTTCCCCTCTTTTGCCCCTTGACCCCTCCAAGACCACGATCAAACACCTTTTACGCGGCCCACCATGGATAACGTGGAGAAGCAGAGAGTCGTCGCTCAAATCCTGCTCACATCGTTTTTCGTCTCTGGCTGAACGTTTGAGGATCGTCTCTAGCCTTGGACCCAGTCCAATGGACAAACGGTGCCGTTTAGGCCGTTATGGAGCTCTTTCTTTGTCTCGTCATCGTTGGTACGGCTATGGTGAAGCACGAAAGCGGGTGCAGACGGCGCGGGCGCGTTGCACCGCGGGTGGGAAGCAAGCCACTCTCCATACTCAAGTGAGGGGAATTTTCCTCGCTCTCTCTTCTCGTTGGCGGGCACTTTGTTTACAAACTGCGGTTTCGCGATTCATGTCAACAATGGGCCCCTGCAGACCCTGTTTCTGGATCCTAGCTTCAACGCGAAGTCATGTGTTGGTTCACGTGATGTCGACAAGGATGGTGTCTCCAGCAGTGACGTCTCTAGCCGCCGTCATCCCGGTTTGGCAGCTGGTTGGACGGTCCGGTTGGGCGAACCTGGTTCAAGGTTGACGTTTGGTGCTGTGGTAGTGGGGGAGGGAGGGAAGAAACCGACGAGGGGGGAGAGGTTCTCGAATGGGACGTGCTGATGGGACAGGAACCAGGAACGTCCGAGCGGAGCTTCAGCTCAGGTTTGGGGGCTCAGTGGAGTCGGCATCCCTCGGCATGGCTCGTCGTGTACGGACGAACTCCGATTTTCGTTCATTCTTTCTGCGGCTACGAATTGCGGATAACATCACATCATTGAAGCCGGGAATCCATCAAGATGACCCCCGGGTTGTGAGGGTCAATACAAGAGAGGCGCCGCTTCGCAACTGCTGACGATACCATGATGATGACAAGGCTGGCGAAGGATCTTGGTGTCAGCGCAGGGGGTGTTTACTCTATGGATAGAGCTCCTCTTTCATGCTTCCTTCACCCCTCTTTCGAACCTCTCTATCTTACAGTCTCAATCGTCGACCCCGGAACCACTGGATGTTGCTGGGCTGAGACTGACTCTGGACTTGCTTGGAGAGCATGGGATTCTGGGACTGGGTTCCCCGCTTTCGCTATCAAGGGGAGCTCTATTTCGGGGCGCAGCAACCACGGGCAAACAGCTCCCAAGCACCCAAGCTCCCAAGACCTCACCCACTTGGTTGATGAACGATTCCTCAGCTCTCGGTTAATGCGATACGAAGATCCAAAGTTGGGTCGAAACATGTCGCCATGCATGCGGACCGGGGACTGATAGTTTCTCATTAATTGTCCGGCCATAGCAGCTACCGACACAACCGACCTATGCCTTGGAGAAGCAGGGCAACCCGCACCGATGTCTGAAACGAACGATATCACCCGGTGAGCCGGGCCCGTATGCTCTGTTGCCCGTCTGACCGACGGGTCTGACCTGACTCTTCCATTCCCCGGTCCATGTCGCAGCAGGAGGAGGAGCAGCAGCAGCAGCAGCAGCAGTCTGCTAGCAACGGCAACAGCTGGGCCAACACCACAGAATCAAGTCGGGATGAACGAGCTTCCGGAATAGGCTCTCCACCGCCG